TCAGACAAGCTTCCCCGTCCCGCAGGGTATTCTGAACTACCAGGGAACCAATTGGGTTGCGTTGACTCTGTGGGCACTCGAGTCGGATGGTGCCAAGTTGGATGACTTTGAGTTGGTGAACACCACACCAGTCATGACTGCCCTATCAAAGATTCGGCCATCAAAGCAGCCAAATTATCGTCAACGGAAGGGAGCTTATTGATAGATAGTCATCAGTGTCAGTGTCAGTGTCAGTGTCAGTGCACAGTGCGCCAGGACGATAGTCGAGTACAACAATAAACCTGCTGTACATTCACCTTTTTAATCCAGTAGTTTCCTCTACCAAATATCAATAGTCTGCACGTAGTACTCGGGTGAAATTGTCACTAGCTGAGAGGTAGCCAAAAGAAAATGTAGTGCAAAAAGGTACGGATCCTCCCGAGGCCCACGGCCCACCCCCAGCCACCGCATAATCCCGGGTCCGTCCGCTCTCCGCTGTCCGCTGTACCCTGTACATCATGCATCTCACCTACGCCGCAGCATCCTTCTTTCTAATGTCACTATTATTTCCGCGTACTCCGTCCTAAGAGAGCATCTCGATCGCGGTCGCGGTTAATCCCACCACATGTCACTCGTTGCGTTATCAGAATCACCATACGGATACTCACCGACCTCGATCCACCCAAACAACCACTACCATTACCATTTACCGCGGAGCACACAACTACAACAGCAAACCTAACCCTCTTCACACAACCATAACCCACCTTCAAAAGAAGAAGGCCAGGGAAGAAATGACCCCCCTCCGCCGCTACACAACAGTCTCCATCCCCGCCTCCTACGGGCGTCTCGACGACAGCCCCTCCCCCGGCACCGTAGCCGGAATCGTCCTAGGCAGCGTCGCAGGCTTCATCTTCCTCCTCTACCTCGCCTATCTCGGCCTCGGACTCAACAACAAACCGCCCCCGGACGACGTAGAAGTCAGCACCGTGTCGATGTCGACGACGACGGAGAGCGCGCTGGGGAGACGGGCGCGGCGGGCGCGCCGCGGCGGGGGACGAGTCGAGGTGGTGGAGGAGGACCGGCGCAGACGGCATCCTGATGACGATAATATTGTGGTGGAGGAGTCGGTGACGAGTGCGTCGAGGACGGATGAGGGGGATGTGGTGGAGGTTTTGGAGGAGCATTCGTCGATTGATGGGCCGGTGGCGCCGGGGCGGTCGAGGTCGAGGAGGAGTCGGGTGTCGGGGTCTTATCGGACGGTTGATCCGTATGAGTATGGGGGTGGGAGTTCGTATGATGGGCGGTGATAAGACATTGGAGGTGGATTGCATTTGTGATGTTGTTTTGGATACCCTTGTTTTGATGCGATGCGATTATGCTACGATAATAACCTTATGCTGTGCCCTGGATAATGAGTTACGAAGCCATGTCATGTTATGCTTTATTTACAAGACGCTCCTATTGAACACGGTCAGGCTGGTTCGCGAGATGTGGGTTTCAATCCTTACAAATAGTAAACGAAAAGTAATATTAACAAGAATAATACGGACTCCTCGCCCTTAGGCAACCAGAAAATGAGGAACAATGAGGGAATGAACGACAGAGGATCCACAAAGGAGATATGACGAGTCCCGACCTGATAATGCTCCGTATCCGTTCCAGCGCCGTAGCAGAATAGTCAGAAAATGATAGACAGAAAGGTATTCGAGCAGAAACAGAATGTTCCGGGCAATTTGCCCTCAATTATAATGGCACGAGTCCCTTTCCTTCATACTGCTTAGAACAGAATATCCAAGCAGCAACAGCATGCAAGAGCGGCCATGATACCGGCACAAATGCCACCGCCTGAAGACCCTCCCCGGTCTTCCGGATAGTAACCTTGCTGCTGTTGCGGGTATCCTTGCGGAGGATAGTACATAGGTTGACCCGGGGGAGGGGGCGAGCCGTAACCGCCGTATCCTTGCTGGGGAGGGGGGCCGTAGTTCTGGGGAGGGTAGTAGCCGCCTTGGTTGTAGTAGTCTTGGTTTGCGCCACCAGGAGGAGGAGGTGAGCCGGGGTGGCCGTATGGGCCAGCGTCATGAACGGGCGCAGGATATGAAGGAGGAGGGCCGTCCTAGAGATAAACGTTAGATGTCAACCCACGCTAAGTCGCGAAGAAACGGAAGGAGTGGGTATGAGAGATTAGGAAACTAACCGGCTTGTTGTATGACATCTTGATGCTTGTAAAAAGCGACGAGGTTCTCAATATAGTCGAATTATCAAAATGTACAGCTAGTAGAGGCTGAGTCAAGAGACACTATTCTGAGAGCGTTTGGAGATTGCCGACGACTGTCAGCTAGCTGCACGAGAACGGATAAGGAGATATTTCGCTGTGTTGATGCGGAGCGCTGCGCTGACGATACGAGATATGGTAAAAGAGGGAATTTGAAAAAGAGGGGCAAAGGAGAGAATTGTTAAGAATATCAGTCAGTCAGATGAAGTTAATAAGTGCTCCAAGGAAGAGGCGCCCAAGCACTTGGCAGATGGCACGGGATCTCCGGATTCGGCAGGTCTGTGGCTGTACCTATAGTATTAGACGATGACAATGACAGCGTATAAGCTACTGATAGACAGGAGCCGTGCTTGTTTTATAGACATTTCCAGTTGGATTGTTGGATTATGACCACCACAAAACTTGTATCTCAATCTTTGGTTCGACAGAACGGAATCTTTCCAAGGTCGTAGGCATCCATGTAAATTCAACTCCGGCACCGCCACCTTTAATTCGTAATGCATTCATCCACCCCTCCTCGCGCTGGACATTGGCTCTCGGCTTTCGGCAAGTCAGTCTATTGCTTCGATTATTAGTAGTCACTAGTCCTAGGAATACGGACATCTCAATCATTATCATGAACGAGGCTGCATGTCATATGTTTGTGTGCCTCAGGCATTGTGGCTTATAACTGATTCCATAATCGCTACGTGCTGGCCCTTATCCCCTTGACACACAGTGCTCTACTCCGTAAATAGCTTGCAAGACCTTCGAGAAAGAAATGTGAAATATCGGTATATCCTCTTGTTTAACATGAATCAAACAGTCTTGGATGTGGTCAGCAGCGTATGTAAATGATCTCCTACCATATAGTCTAAATGAATCTGAGTATCAACGGGCTCTGACGCCGGTACCACAATCAAAGGTCGCCCGTTGTTATCACTGGTATCTAAAATATCGGGCCCTATCCACAGGGCACTGTTGCTTTGGTAGACAGGTGGTCTTCCTGAGTCCCCAGTCCCACTAGTTGATTTTTGTCTCTCTCATCTGGGCTCTTAATGAATTCCCAACCTGCACATCTTCAGGCAACTCATGGTTTACGAGCGAGGACCAGGTCTCTCCAGGATGGAGAGTCGCAAAATCCTCCATCCACAGAGGTCAACTGTGTACTCTTCCCAACGACCACACCACTGATAAAGCGTGGGAAGCCGTAGAAGCCGAATATGAAAGGTAATCGGCCTGGTCTCGCCAGAAGGGCCAGGATGATAGGTAATATGAATTTCCATTCTCACCTGCCATTTCTGTACGGAAACAGTTGATGCACATTCAATCTTCGCGATCAAAATTGGGGCCGCTTCTTCTCTGGAATCCACATCAGTGGATAGTCAAGCACGGTTGTTCTTACGCGCCAGATATAACTTCCACTGGCCACGTTGGGGGCATGCAATGGCTGCTCTCCTTCTTCTATGGTGGAGGCCAGTATAGGACCGCCTGGCAGAACGAAGTTGGTGTCTTGGATCGGTATGTACGTGTAGAAACAGTTTTTGGCTACTCCCCAATTCCCATGCGGCGTATTTTTCACCGGGCCAGAATAATGTGTATCTCTCTCCAGCCGCTAGGCAAGAGAGAAAGCGGTCTGGTAATACATCCATCCATCTGGGGGCTGCCTGGAATATGTTCAATGAAACATGATTCTTCAGTAGCCCATGGTGAAAGGGAGGCCATGTGCTTTTGGGAAGCTCAATCTACTTCAAGCCTTCAATGGTATGATAGAAGAATGAAGCCGGAAGCAACAAATCCATGGATATGGGGAGGCCATGCAAAGAGGCATGGGCTGTCTTTATCATCAACGCGGCGTAAGGTGACTTCGAACAGATATGGGGTTCTCCGCCACATCTTCTCAGGGCCTTGTAGCTCGAGGGAAATTGCCGGCGTATCCGGGCTACAGGAAGTCAACCCGCTGCTACTCTGGTCAAGCTTGGGGCTGAACTGTGTCCATCGCAAATGCCGAGCCAGGGACTCGTCCATTATCGGTTCTTTCCTCTGCTTTGTTGGGCAGCAGCAGGAGCAGCAGTTCGGGTGGAGGGTGGTATTGGGAATCTACCTAGCCACCCCTCCTGGGAAATGAGACTAATATAGAGAAGCGTATTGAACCGGGCCCCATCTTGCAGCAGTACTGTCCAAACAACGCTAGTGGACAGCCTGATGGAGACCCTTTTTGATCGCTTAGAAGAAGTAGACGGTCGGTGGAGACTGGACTGTCCCCAAAAGAGAGCAGAAATTTCCCGCCGATCCTCAATTAAGATTAGGGGTAAGCCTCTGGTCCGGGCGGCGCGATCTCCAATCTCCAGGCTTCCCCACAACGATGGATATAATGGGATCTTGCTGTGGTTGGCCTTGAGGCAGGAAAAGCGTCTTGCGGCTTCTGATCCGGAGAGAAGGCCGTTGTTGGGGAGTAGGCCGACGCGTGCAAGCTAGGGCCCATCGGAATGACTTGTTGAGGGCTACATGGCTGAGGCGTGTTCTCAGCCAGGACTTTATAAACATAGATCAAGAGCTGAATCAATGCAAAAATACAAGAGACAAGAAAAACGAAAGATTGCGCTCAATTTCCACCATATGAAGATGTTGAAGTTATAAGATAACGGTCAGCATGCTGTAGAATAGGGTTGTCGACTGCGGTGGGCAACGTTAAGATTACATGACAACGCCTCGGTCGCGCCCATCCTCCACGCGTCTTTCTCTGCACGCTGGATGTTGTCACAATATGTCGTGGTCATCCCGAATGTCTCTTAATCGCCCCTATAAATCACTACTGGCTGTCTTTGTATTCTGGAAAACTCTTTTACTTCTCCTGGCTGTCTTCAGCCCTGGTCCTGGCTACGACACTTCAACCACGCTTCGGTTGGACCGTAATGCAACCAATGCAGTCAGCGATGGTCCATTTACAGCGAGCTTGCACCTGGTTTCCACCAAGCTGACCAGGTGGGACGCTATATATTTTACCGAGGTCGCAACCCGGGGCTATATCTTCGAGCAAGAATGGGCATTCGGTTATGGCTTCACCAAGCTCATCAATTTCTTTGCCAATGGTGAGCGCCTTTGAACCTGTCGTACACTGGCCGACTAATAGTTACCCAGCTCTCCAAAAGACAGGCGCTGTAGACTACGCTTTTAGGGAGCACGTCGCTGGTATTATCATAGCTCATGCAGCTCATGGCCTGTCGGTGCTAGTTCTCTATTGTCTGGGGTGTGCCATATTTTCCGGAAGAAAGGGTCGCATGCTCGCGTTCATCGCAGCGTGTTTACATATATTCTCACCTGCTGGACTTTTCCTTTCGGCTCCGTACGGGGAGAGTACCTACGCTCTCTTGAGCTTCACTGGCTACTTTCTCTTCGTTCAGAGCTTCAGCCCGTCGGGGGTTTCCACGGGTCACAAAGATGCTCTTATTCCGCTAGCTGGTATCCTGTGCGGATTAGCTACGACAGTTCGCAGCAATGGGATCCTCAACGGCCTTCTGTTCCTCGAGGAAGCAATCAGAGTGCTCTATTCCCTGACCGGGAGTATAACCTTTGCGAAATCTCGCCGGCTACTCGCCGTTGGCGTAGCCGGTATCTGCATCGCTCTTGGTTTTGTGATTCCGCAATACATCGCTTACCGGGATTTCTGCATCAATTACCCCCATACGCACGATGAAGAACCAAGGATATGGTGTCGTAAGACTCTGCCAAGTATCTACAGCTTCGTCCAGGACCATTATTGGTATGTTTCCGACTTGGTATCGTTACGCCGCTAACTAATCCCATAGGAACAATGGTTTTCTTCGGTACTGGACTGTGTCCAATATCCCCCTGTTCGCCTTGGCCAGTCCAATGCTGGCCATCATGACGTATTCTGCCTTTTGGACTCTCAACGTCGAGTCAGGCAGACTGACAGGAGCAGGCCACCTGTTGCGTAGCCTGGCGGCTCCCCAGCTCATTCTGGCCGCCTTGACATTCGCAAAACATCATGTTCAGATCATTACCCGCATGTCTTCGGGTTATCCCGTGTGGTATTTCTGGATCGCGGATCTCCTCATGAAGGAATACTCCTCGGTCCGTCTGAAGGGGGCTGGAAGTCAGAAGCAGCGTTCGTACGCAGGCATGGCAATCACCTATATGATTTCTTATGCAGCTGTTCAGGGGGTCCTTTTTGCTTCTTTCTTACCGCCGGCATGACTGCTCATACGGGAACAAAAAAAGCTGAACTACCTCACCGTCACCTGTTTATAATATACAATATTACTTTTATAGTATATGCAGAGGAGAAGCCACTCCAAAACATTAAGATTACAGTAGGCACGGAAAACCGGTTTTGCAATCTCTCCATAAGGTACCATTTTGACTTAGGCACAATCGGCATTGGTCCAAGTGACGCTACACTACGCACCTCGAAGCAGGTACCGACATGACGATCCCAGTCTTAGACATAATCACACAGTCACACAGGCATATAACAGCTACACTCTCCCTCCCTCTCAATTTCAATCCCCAATCCATGATGCCTCCAAAATGGTCGCCCAACTCTTCCCACCCCGCCATGTCTACTTCCCCTCCACCCCCTCCCACACCTCCACCGTCATCCTCCTACACGACACAAACAGCACAGGCGCCGAGCTGGCCGCCGCGCTGGCCGCCTCAACACCACCAGCAACAGAAACAGCGACAGCTGGAAATTCCAAATCTATCTTCGAGCACTTCCCCTCCTGCCGCTGGGTGTTTCCCTCCGCTCAGCCCCGGCAGATAGATACCTGCTACGCAAGCAGGGGGGATTGGATCGATGTCGATGTCGACGTCGACGTCGACGCTGGTGCGAACGAAGACGCAGATGCAAACGCGGACACAGACACAGGCGCAGATTCTCCTCAACAAACACAACCACAGCTCAGCCCCTCCACAAAAGACGACGACGACGACGACGACAAAACCAAAGACCAAAACAATGATCTAAAATCCTGCGTAGAGTACATCCTGCAAATAGTAGAAGAGGAAATCATCCGGCTGGGCGGGGACAGTCGTCGCGTGGTGCTGGGTGGGTTCGGGCAGGGGATGGCCGTTGCGATTGCTGCATTGCTCGCTGCGCGGAGACGACTGGGTGGGTTTGTGGGTGTGAGCGGGTGGGTTCCTCTCCCGAAGAGGATCGAGGGATTAGGTGGTCGTGGCGGGGGGCTGCTTGTTGAAAATGAGGCGAGGATGGGAGGGCCAGGAGTGGAACGGGGTGAGGTTGATTCTGAGGCCGATTCGTTGCTGGAGACTCCGGTTCTTCTGAGCTACCTTGAGGATGATCCATGTGTGGATATGTTGACGGTCTACGAGACATTGAACCGCTTGGGGTTCGTCAAGGTGGTTTGGGATGCTCGCCCAAGTTCACAGCAGGGCGAGGATTGGCTCTTACATTCGAACCAGCTAGATACAATTATGGGTTTCTTGACAGAGGTGTTTGGTCATGAGGGCAGCATCTCTGCTATGATGATATGTTATGATACTCTACTTGAAGCAGCAGGCAGGCAATCATCTCCTAAATAGTATTTCCAGTCGCTCACGTCGTTACTTACACGCTGAAATGAACTCGCTAAGCCAATCTTTTTGCCTTCTCTGCAAACACTTTTGAAGACCACATGACTCGGAGAGAAGACAAGGGTTGTATGCGATGGCACACGGGACAGGGAGCAGAACGGAAATGAATCCTGAAATTACACGAGAGAATATAAGTCACGAGGGGAAATGCCGAGCCGCCTCCAGAAGAAGGCTGTATCACATGATATATAAAGACAGAACAAGAAAAGGAAATTGGGAGTCAGCCATGGCAAATCCACTGGCATCTCATGTAGGTGGTGCGGGAAGGGAGGAGACGGCTCCGGAAAGAGCTCAGGTTGGCAATGCTTGGGAAATCGCAGAAAATGAGAATGCAAACTTCGGAGAAGCTCTTGCAGATCTAGAATGTCAAAAAGCACCCGCTGATGCAATGGAATGTGCATGCGATGAGCATAGATCGAGTCTATATCGGTCGTGTTTCTCTTCATGCCGTATCCTCAATCGAAGCCTTCTGAAGCTCCTCGGAGACATCCGCGGTGGCATCGTTCTCCTGCTTCAGCTCAGCTTCGGCGGAGACTTTGCCATTGACACCGCTGTTCTCAATAGCGACCTTCTTGGCATGGTCGGTAGCACGTTGGCTGTCAGAGTTCGCCTCTTCCTCTTCCAGACGCTTGATCTCCTCCTGAGCCTTCTTGATGTTCTATCAAACATGTCAGCGCATCGAAATCGCCAGCAAATATCTGTGTTAACTCACCTCCTCGGTCTTAGCGGCCTGGTTCGCCTTCCACTCGGTGATCTTGGCGGCAAGCTTCTCGACAACAGCAGGAACATCGGACTGGTTCATAGGAGGGTCGATCTTGACTTTGGCAAAGTCCTCGATGACACCGACGTTGAGGTTGAACTTAGTGGGCTCGGCAGGAGTTCCGGGGGCAGGGCTGCCATTGGCGGTGCCCTTCTTACCCTTCTTGCCCTTCTTGCCGCCAGTGCCGACAAAGTAGTCTTCCTCGCGGTCCTCCTTCTTCAGGACCTTCATGCCCTTGATGTTGGAGTCGTCAACGGTACGACCGACTTGAGCACGGAAAGCGGAAGACTGATCCTTCTTGTCATCGAGACCAAGGGTGGAGAAGTCGTAGGACGGGTTGAAGTGGCGGATAAGACCTTGCGCGATGAGGATCTCGTCGGTGTAAGCGGGACGGGAAGCCTCCTCAAGCTTCTTGTCCGCAATCTTCTTCTTCTTTTCGCGCTCAAAGGCCTCACGCTGGGCCTTTTGCTTCTCCCGGCGGATCCTCCAGGCCTCGTCCTCATACTCCTTGTACGCCTTGCGGGCCTTGTAGTAGTTGTCCTTGATCTCACGGATGGCAGTCCACTTCTTCTGCTGCTCCGCGTGCAGCTTAGTGCGCTCGTCTCTCAGAGCGTTCAGATTCTTGAAGGCACTGTCGTGCTCGGCCTTGATGGCATCGAGCTCCTTCTGGATCTCAGTGTACTTGTCGCTCAGAGCCTTGGCTTCGGGGTTGTCGAGAGTCTTCTTGAGGGTAGCAATCTGCGCCTTCAGGTCGTTGATGACCTTCTGCTGCTCATCCAAGCCGGCAAAGTTCTTGCGCTGCTTACGAAGAGTCGAGATGTCGGAGAGAGCCTTGCGCTCGTCCACCAAGCGGAGAGTACCAGAGTCGACTTGCTTCTCGAGACGGGCGATTTCACGGTCAATGTCCTCGACATTCTTGAATGGCATGCGAGTGCGGGAGTTATTCTGTTCGGTGATCCGGGCCTTGAGGGTCGACTCCAGAGCATTGATCTTTTCCTGGGTGCTCGTTCTTGAGGCCTTGAATCCCTGCTGCTTTTGACGAATGGAGGAGAGCTCAGCACGAAGTTCCTGTTGTCTCTTGGCTGCGGGCGAGTCCTGGTTGTTAGGCTTGGCGCTCTCGATCTTGGCCTTGATTTGGTTCTGCGCATAGTCAGTATCTTTATATATGTTATGCAGTTTGCAACTGGTCGTATACACATATCATTAAAGCAGAAGAGGAAATGATAGAAGTTGTGAGGGTCGTTTTTCCACAGAAGGAGGGGTAGAGGTTATCTGAATAAATAAAAAAGAGGCGCATTGTGCGGAGCATGAAACAAACAACAAAGCAATAAAACAATGGACATTATCAATTGACGGAGACCTCACATACCAATTTCTCCTGGACAGCAGCATGCTCCTTTTCAGCCTGAGCGAGATCAGCCTTGAAAGCCTCCTCGTTGGGCTTGGTCGGCCTGGCTTTCTGCTCCGTGGCAGGAGCGGCATTGGCGGTGGCAGCCATGACTTTTGAGAATCAAAGAGAGGGGAGAAGAAGGAAGAGATGAGTGACAGAAACTCAAAAGTGAGCCGAGATTGATCGTGTGGATCAATCGCAGAAAGACGCAGCTCAGGGGAGTGGGAAGAAAGGAGGGTAGTAACACGAGAGTGATACACAAAAATAATTGATAATTGCCAGGTAGGCGGAAAGTTGGGGAAGGGGACCGAGAACTCGTGCCTCTCTGCTTTCCCTGGGTCACTCTCTCTTTTTTTCCTAGCTCTTCTATGGTAAGCCTGGCCTTTACTGGCGTCTGATTCTCTTCTGGTTGGCGGCGCTTACCATTGGCGCTCTTAGCGCAGGTCCGCCCGATTTTTCGAGAACTTCGATCACTGACGGTCTCCAAATTCCTACTTATCGACCAGTTTTCTTCCATACAACTCCCGTCTGCGTCTGACATATTGCTCGGCGCTCTCACCGAGATAGCATTTCTTTTGCTTGCCACAATTTTTTTTCCTTGAGGCAGCGGACAGGCGCGGTTACTTCAATTTTCAGCCATGGATGAAGAATACACCAGCTCCGCGGAGGCCGACCGCGAGATGACCAGACTTTGGCGAACCTGGAGGACGGTATTCGAGATGCTGGCGGATCGGGTGAGTTTCTCTGAGATGTTTATTTCTTTGCGCTACGTTGTCGTGCGGTTATGCTTACACGATTGTTCTGCTGTAGGGGTACGAAGTCACAGAAGAAGAGATTCAAATTCCCCTAGATGAATTTAGACAGAAATATGCGGATCCTGTGGGATTCCCTGAGTACGCGACTACCCTGGACCTCTCTGGCATCCCCGGTCAACTCGTCTAACGCACTTTCTTCATCCATACAGCCGCACCAAGATGAAAATCAGCGCTCGTCCCACAGCAGCCATGCAAGCCAAATACACACCTTTGCCCACCCCCGCCAACCCGGACCCTCAACCTGACTGTGGTACTATCTATGTTGAGTTCTGTGCCGATTCCACCGGTGTCGGTACTAAGCAAGTTCGAGCCTTCAATCACTTTGTTGATGAGAACAACTTTCACACCGGAGTCTTCATCACTCAGACGCCAATCTCCCCATCTGCCGTGCGCCTACTGAGTGGTATTCCCGGTCGTATCTGTGAGCATTTCCAGGAGCAGGATTTACTGGTCAACATCACCCGTCACGAGTTGGTTCCCAAACACGTCCTGCTGAGCCCAGAGGAGAAGAAGAATTTGCTCCAGCGGTATCGATTGAAGGAGTCGCAACTGCCTCGTATCCAGGTCTCTGATCCTGTTGCGAGGTACTTGGGTTTGCGACGGGGACAGGTCGTCAAGATTATCCGAAAGAGTGAAACCGCCGGTCGTTATGCCAGTTATCGCTGGGTAATTTAATCGCGCTGGACTCCATCAGTACACATGTCTTTTTGAGCGACACAATCGTTCGCAGAAGACCTTTTGTGCGCCTTTCACATCTTTCATGAGTCGGTTGGGAACAGTCGAACTGGGGTCCTCCGAGGTTATATCTCTGTCTCCCGGCTCTGCTTAGAGGACCAGGGTCTACGTTTTTCGGTACAATTCGTTGCGCTCAATGAGATGCGCCCGGAAGCGATCCTGGATTGAAACTACTATTATACCCTCGGATAACGAAACCAAGGTTGGAGAGTCTTGTTGCGTGGTAACGACGGCAAAAAGTGGTTGCAGGAAGGGGATCAAGAAAGCACAGAGGAAAACATCGAAAAGTTCGTCCACTTGTACGTATTATGGGCAGCATGGCGCATGGGCGAAAGAGAGACTTCAATTTTGGTCGGGAACTGTTTCGTCACCAAGCTTTCTTCATTCTTTGTGATCTTATGTATGTAAGTCCGACGCCTATTAGATAACCACTTTAACGTATAGAATCGGTCGGAATTCATACAAGGGCTTGGATAAATAGCTGATATTCAAATTCATGACTTCTTCCCTACCTCGGTTTCGTGAGGCTTGATGGTCAATTGGTCCCTTTAATGCCTCAGGCCGCAAGAGCCCCACGGATAGCATAGCCGCCAGCACTGGACAGGCCGAGAACGCTGCCGAGAGTACTCCGTACGTCAGATCGTAGAGTGTGCCGCCCCCGTGATTAAGGTTGAGTCTGCTTGTTACCTACTTGATGTTTCTCAAATAATAATTGCTTGTGATCCTCGGCCATATGTACCGTCTTTTTGTTATTGCGCAAATTCTTCAATAGACTCTCAAATTCTAATCCGATCTTTATTCTTGAAGATGTTGGTTTGAGATTTTGATTTCAACTGCTGTTTGTTTTTTGACACGGTCGCTGCCACTGCTATACACGTTCCCCTTCATTCTCCTTCATCGGAATCGTGATGATGCAAGAAGTGACCGTAAGACCTTCCCACGTTTATCACTTAACCTTGTCTCGGCTTAGCAAGATGCTAACCCAATTTCCCACCAGGCTCTTTTTGCAAAGACTCAGTCGGGTTCTTACATGCGTTTACGCTCTCTTTACCCGTCAATCCCGCGATGCTCCCGAACCCGGCCTTCTCTACGCTCTTTTTCCAACGAGTCTCGTTCGAGTTCATCAATCGATACCTTCTTGCCCTCCGGTAACCATGATTCCTTGAGAAGAAGCTCCAATCCTTCCAGCCATGGTCCTTGGACGCCGTCGCAATCTACAGCTTCGTTCTCTACCTCCTCCTCGCTCTCG